ACTCCCTAGATATTTTCTCCTTTCCTGTTTCCAGGCTTTGAAGCTAAGTTTGGGCCAATACCCATATTAAATGAACAAATCCTTGATGACAAGGTCAATGTCAGTGTTTGCTGATGCAGGCCATAAATAGTCAAGGTTGGAAAATAAAATTTGGCAGGAAGGACTGTAATTCATTGAACCCAGCTATAGATTGTTGGTGTTCTTAGTTTTGAGCAATTTTTGATTCTGGAGTTCATCCAAGTTCATCCTTGGACACTTGAAACCTACTTGCCCACCATTTATCCCCAAGTAAATCAGCAGTCGTTCATGATAGAATGAGAGTAAGACTGAAATTACTGGAATGATTCCCATGCTGGTGAGGGAGAGCCCAAGGTTTTCCAAAATCATAAAAAGCACAATCTAAGGAACAAAGCCAAAGGATGCAGATCCCTTCTTATCAGCCAGGAATTGTGTTAAATCAGAATAATCAGAGGGGGAAAATATTTTTTTAGCAATTCCTGTCATAGCTGGCTCCCAAGCTCTCTTAGGTGAGAACTAAGTTTAGAACTTTGGAGAGAATTCACCTTTACAATTTTCTTTAGGTGTGGAATGTATGGCCCGAGGGACTGGTCTGCAGATGCAATGGGATGACAAGAGATACCAGGGCGTTTTGCGGGGGAGTGGAGGAGAGCAGACAGAAGAGAGAAGATCAGGGCCTGGGGGAGTGAGAGGGAAACATGCCTGGAAGCTGGAGACTGCATAGGCAGCTGGTTGATGAGAGCTTCTGGAGCTTTTGTGAATGGAAGTACCCACTATTAAATCCTAAATCATTTGAAATGCTCTCATGCAATCCCTTTCTTGAAAGCTTTGATAAAATCTTCTGTCCACAAAGCTTGGCAGTGGACAGAAGATTTGGGAAGGGATGGGTTGAGATGATTATTGAGGGGTGATATAGTGCATAAAGGAGAAACCTCCTCCCTCTGCAAAATAGAGGAATGATCTGTAAAATGAACCAATTCAGTAGAAGTAGCACCCAGGGTTATAGTTGAACTTGAGTCTGCTCAAGGATCTCTGGGGCAGTGCTATGTTTCCCGAAGTTTAAGTTTTATGGGGAAAAAATCTTGCTTGGATCTTTGAAGTCAAGGCAATACCACCGTGTTTGTCATGAACTGAACCTTAAGGAAGACATGAAGTCTCAAACCCAGAATTATTGTGGAGACCAGACTAAGTGGAACACTCCTGGAGAAATTATGGAAGTAGCAGCACTATGGTTTATTCATTCATTCACTCATTCATTCATGAGACACTGGCACACTATTTTATGAGTCAAACTCTTTAATATTTGCTAAAAACATAGACATTGTCCCTGCCTTCCAGGAGCTTTCACCGTTGAGATGTGAAGGCAAGGGGAGCTGACATTTACTGAGTTCCTCATATGTGCAGACAGTTGACTGTGTATATTTCACATGCATTTTCTTTCTCAGATTCTCCCAACAGCTTTATAAGTCAGTAGCTATTGTTCCCCACATACAAGCAAGTAAGCTGAGGCCCAGATAAGTTAGGGAACTTGATTCAAACATGACTCAGCTGATCCATAGTGAAACCAGTGTTTATACATACATAGGATTATCTGACTCTAGACTTAGAGGAGGGCCCTTATTTTGGTCAAAGGCACTGAAAAATGGGTCATAAGGGGTTCAGCCTTGACAGTGTAGTTGGAAAATCATTCCCCATATTTATTCTGAGTCCCAGTCGATTTGCTGTGATGCCTATCAGCCTGTCTGCTATCAGTGCTTTCTATCACTGGGTTAACCATTGTTTTCCCTGTCAAATGTACTTTTGGAAGCTCCATACACCAACTCAGCAAGGTATGGCCACCTCATTTTTGAGGTGCCTAGCTAAGGGTTCTGGTGCCTGAGGAGACAGAGCAGTGAAAGGCTCAGAGGGGAGACTGGAATCCCAGAATGATGCTACAGAAACATGGAAAGAGATGTTGTTGTTCTTTGCAAGTACACAGGCTCTGCTTTTTGCTGCACATTAGAACTATCAACCATAATTAGCAAAGGGCAGTTACATGAGCCTTGTTAATGAGTCTTGTGCCCAGGATACAAGGAGAAAAGGAGAAATCCATCATGTTGTCCCATAAGCATAAATATCACACAAATAATTAAGTGAGGGTAATATCTGATGCACCGTCCATATGATATTTATTTAAAATGATTTTCTCAAGACAGGCCCAGAACTCTTCTCCTTTGGGAGATAGCTAGGAGCTGGGCAGAGATGATTTGGGCACTTGAGGAGCAAAAACGAATTGGACTGACATCTGAGAAACCACCTGAGCCTGGTGTTGGCTGTGGCAAGTGGATGGACATCTGTTGTTTTTGTCTGTTCGGCACCATCCTATCCCTTTGAGGAAAAGTTCCTCTTCCACCCTGATCATGTGATTGAGATGGGGCTGCCAATCACAATTTCTTACCCAACCCTCTGGCCACAAGGGTGGACATATGATTCAGACTTAACCAATTATTGCATCTCATTTACCTGGTCCCAGCGATTTGTCAAGCCTGGGACTCAAGCATGCTTGTTAGAACCATCTCCTTTGGCAATGAAGACAAAGCACATTGATGTTTCTGTGTTATGATTTTTGAAGGACAAGAAACAGAGACTTGTGGGGCCTTCTCTCTTTATCATGTGGCATCCACTGTCTGTAATGGAGAGTAGCATCAAACTTGGACCAGCACAAATGGAGAAAAAAGGAACAATGAGTATCAAGATGCCAGTTCCAGTTCTTGAGTCCCCTGCAGCTGTCCTTGTTCTTGTCTCTGCAGTTTCATGATCCAATAGATTCCCCTTTGGATTAAACTTCTTTGAGTTGGGTTATTATTAACAGATATGAACTTCAAAAATCATATTTTGAGAACATCTGATTCTAAGAAGCTGGCAACTTACAGGATCGGCATCAGGTGGTGGGTTGGACCTTGGACTATGCACCTATATGTCTGAACTTGAAGGGACCTTAGTGGTCGATGAGCCCCCCCTTTCCCATTTGACCATTGAGGAATCTGAAATTCATCATAGGAAAGAGACTTGCTGTGATCACATAACAAATCAGTGGCAGAAACGGGGCTGGAGAGGGTCTTGGTCTCTTGATTCTTAGGCTAGTACTTCCCTTTGGGATTGGGGCAGCATGCAGTTTCCTGGCAGGGTAAACAGACCAACTAAATATGAATGCACAGAACCAAGAGAATCCCAGACTTGACCTCAGGCCAGGCACACCTTCTTTTCACCCCAACTCTACTCTTTGTCTGCCCTTCTGACTTTCTAAGACTAGGTAAGAAGTCAATTATTCTTGGTTTAGTCTCACTCTTAGAGACCTAACCTGGAACCCAACACTGAGCAACCTGACAGCAAGGCCTAAGGTCAATACTACCAAAGGCCTAGCTGCTTCCACCAGAGGTATGGGTTTCAAATCCTGGTCACTTACACATCCTGTGGCCACCAAAGGGGTTGACTGGAGGTGGGGGAGAAACCCTGCTAAGAGAGAATTTCTACCCCTACTTCAACTACAGCAGCCCTCTCAGCCCCCAATTTCAAAATTTCTTTTATATATAGGAGTTTAATGTACAATTTTGTTTGAAAATGGGTTCCTCTTGAAAGAAAAAAAAAACCCCACCTTAAAACCATTAATCCTATAAGGCTAATCCAACTACTATTCTTTGAACAAAAGGTGATATGTGACAGGTCATATAAGTCAGCAGGAAAGGAGTTCCAAACAACCTTTTTATGAAAAAGGCCCAACAGGTCATTATTAAAGGAAAAAAATCATTATTTACAATAACCCATGTTTTGCCAAATATTACTGATGAACTATTGGTTGTAAAGACAACGTCTTGGACAAATGACCCCGTGCCCACATGATAATTAAGAAATATTGTCCTGACTGGGGTGTTTCAGTAGATTGAGTGCTGGCCTGTGAACCAAAGGGTCTGCAGTTCAATTCCCAGTCAGGGCGCATGCCTGGGTTGTGGGCCAGGTCCCAAGTAGAGAGCATGCAAGGGACATCCACACTTTGATGGTTCTCTCCCTCTCTTTCTCCCTCCCTTCCCCTCTCTAAAAATAAATAAAATCTAAAAAAAAAAAAGAAATATGCTTTCATTTACTTGTTTATTCACTACTCATTGAGAGCCCATACCCTGGGCTCACTCTGTTAAGTGCTAAGAATACCATACAGAGCAAGATATATGATCCTCCCACAGAAATTTTGGAAATTAATTCTTTCCTTCAAGCAAAACTTTTTGTTTTTTTGAGAAGTTATCTTTGAGCAGAGGAGCACTGGGGGATTGATTGGCTCTATGGTCAGATTTAAAAAGAGGTTTTGGCAAATGAATCTGGGGTTTATCCATCTTTCCAAATGTAGTCACTTACCTTCTTTACCCTATTTTGTTCTAGCTGTAAATTCCCATCTGGGTCTCAGTGTCACTCTTTGTCTTTAAGGATTTATAAACACTGTTATGAGGTCAATCTAAGGCTTCAGAACCAGTCCCCCTAATGATTTGGGAGGTCTCTTTGATGGATGGGATACCTTGGTTCTAGTTATGCTAATTATTTTGGTAGCCTTAGGCAAATCACTCCATCCATCTGAGTTTCTGACTTTTTACCTATGGAATTAAGGGGCTTAAATGTGGACTTCCCCAAAGGAACATCGAAGTTTCCATTCCTGGATTATTTAATATAAGGCTATCTGCTATGACAGCTATATTCTCAGTTGCATACACAGTACGTGCTTATTTCTTTTCATGTCATAGTCAATAGGCATGACTGGCCAGATGGCCTTCCATGTTGCCATCCCAGGGCTGCTCCTTCCATGTTGTGGCTCTCCCTCCTTTAAGTCAGGGTTCCAAGAAGAACAGTAGAATAAACCAGCTAATGAATGCCGCAAATCAAGATGATTCAAAACATTTGGGCTGGTTAATAGGGAATGAGAGAGAAGAGGTTTTTATGTGTGTGTGTGTGTGTGTGTGTGTGTGTGCACTGTTCCTGGGAGTACCACAATACCAGGTTGATGAGCGGAATATATGGAGTAAGCTCCTATTCCACTTCCCTGTTTCAAAAGTCTATTTACTTATTGTCCTCAGGTAAAGGACATATCAGATATTAAACTTGTAAGAACAGATACTACATTTGATCTTAGCCAAAAGATCAAGAAATGATTCTCCTGGGAAATTTTATAGGCCAGGTCTACAAGAGCATTCATCCATTCCACCCACATTCCACTGGCGAGAAGTTGGTCACATGGCCACACCTAAGCACAATGAAGTCTGTCAAGTGTGGTCTAGCTGTGTGGTGAAAAGGAAAGGAAAACATTTGCTGCATAACCAGCCAGTTGGGTATAGAACACTGTTTGCTGCTTTAGATAGAAGTCCTTCCTCACTAACTTTTTAACAAAAGGTTTAAAACCATATACTTCTGCCTCAACCAGGGAAATCATTTACAAAAGCTGAGAGATGACAGCAGGCTTGGTTAGGAAGTATGTCTACACATCCAGGTTTTCCCAAGAGAGGCCCAGCTTATGCCTGTGATCTCAGCATTCCTTTCAGTCAGTGCCCCCATCATTCTCAAAAGTAACCCAGTTTGGATGACAAATTATACAGTCACCCTAATCTTCGGGGGTGGACAGTGCAGAGGAAGGAAGAGAATACAAGAATGTGTGAAGATGTTGCTAAAAAGAAGCCACATAGCCACTGTTTCATAAAGACAGTATTTTTTTTATTTTAAAATTCTGCATCTGAAAACACAGTATGACAGAAAGCATCTATATACACCTGCAGTGTTTTTGGTATGGTACAGTATTTATTACATCCACTGTTTTCTGCAAAAAAACTTGCTTTGTCAGACAGAAACAAACTCCCCTAGACAAAAAAATACAGCTAAGGCACAATTTTGTTGTTGTTTTCCTGCTAAACAAAAAGACAGAAAAGGTGCAAAGATGGGTGGGTAGTGCCATCATTTCCAAGAATCACATTCTAATGCGAGAAAAAAGCATTTGGGTGATTGGAGCTTTGATTACTGGTCAATTTCAGATAGTTTAATATCTCTTAAAATACTCCTTTAAATAAATAGCAAAATATCTACATCTTTCAGTGTGTGCCGTTTGAATTCTCTCTTTTTTAAAACTTTATTTACATATTCTCTCTTTTTAAAAAAATCAATACATTACAAAATATTTCTGTACAGTTTTATGCATATTATGATCTATAACAAAATAGTTATTTTTAAAAACTATATCACCACATGTCTTTGAAAAAATGAAGGGGACGGTAATAACTTATTGTGAGGCTTCTAAAAAAAACCCAAATGCTACTGATAACATAATAATACTAAGAAAACAAGACAAAAAAACTACAAAGACAATTGCGCTCAATTCCAGTGAATTTCCTATGAAAACCCTGGGTTGTCTTTGGCCTCCATCAGCCCTGGAGCGATGGAAGGGAAAAGGAGGGGCTCTGAAAGTAGGGAGAGTGTGGTCCCTTGGAGAACATGACACATCTACTGGGAATATTTAATGCTACCACTTTCCAGGCAGGAAGGACGAAGAGATAAATTGAGAAACTCTCCTGACTTACCCTTGACTGAAGTACGTAAGTCACCATGTGTTTGGGAACGGGAGGGTTAGAAAGCTGGAGTTAGCACTCTGCAGGCAATGAGGCCAGCCCATACACAGCAGCAATATGCTCTGAGAGAGTGCTTCAGGAGCTGGCTGAGGTCTAGATGAGCACCCAAGCCTTCATTTTACCCATAGGAAACATTTAAGAATATTTTTCCTAAAGATGACATTTATTAGCAATTTCTAAGCATCTGCAGACTACAGATTGGCCGCCCCTTGCTTAAGAGGCTCTTTCTTCTTGGATGTTGGTGGAAATGGGAGGGAAAGGGCGGTCAGCTTTCCAAAAATAATTTTAAGGCCACATTTCAAAAAGGAGAACCTAAGGCTTTTGGGGGAGGGGGTGAGGGTGGGGAGAAGATAAGTAAGTCAGAGGAAAGTGACGGATGGAGAAGTCAAATTAGGAATGGAGGTGGCAAGGGGCAGAAACTGCTTTCCTGTGGGGTCTGTGGGCAGAGGCAGTTGGAGAACTCCCAGCCAAGTGGATGGGGAAGGGAGGGTCACTATGTCCCTGCATGGACTTGGCAAGGACAGAACCAAAGACAACGTGAGGGGTGGACACAAGTGGCGCAAGAAAGCCCTCCTCAGCCTTAAGAGGTAAAAAGAAATAATAATTCAGAGAGAAGAGAGAGAGAGAGGGGGGGGGGCAGACAGACAGACAGACCGACAACAGAGACACACAGAGAGAATTTGCATAGATTGTACATTCAGCTCAAGCAGATTTGGCCACCTTTATTCCCCCCCCAAGGTAAACTTCTCAGCAGACACAGTGAGGTAGCGCCTGTGGTAGACCCATGGGCAAAATAAGGTAACTGAGGCGGAAGCTGAGAGGACATCCTGTGAGTAAGCACAGCTCCAGCATGGCTTCTAAAGAAGCTTTCAGACATGTGGCAAGCTGGTTCCTAGAACCTGGGACTTGGAGGGAGCTGGGCTGTTCACACACACCACCCTTTCCTCCTGGACCCTGTCCTTGACCTCCCCACCTGGGTGAGATGGAATTCCCGAAGATATGACCTGGGCAATGTGGACCTCCTTAGGTGTAAAGGACAACAGCTGGGGTCTCCAAACTCTGTTCCTTCTTCCCTTTGGCACAAACTGTGTTGGGACAAGGAGAGCTGAACAAGCTAGTTCTCCTGGGACACCTCTTCTGTGGAGCTGTCTCTTTAGGATGGGAATGACTAGAGAGAGATTCCTGTTCCCTTAAGACTTCAACATGAGCTACTATTTTTAACCTTTCTTAATGCTGGCTTTTCTCTCCTCACCAGGGCAATCCCTGCCTCCTTTTAAACCACCTCTCTGGAGTGAGCTTGCTGCCAGTGCACTGGCTGAACTGTGGAATTTCTCTTTGCCCATCTGTTTAAAAAAATTGCTGACAATGATGCCCTGGGTGGTGTGGCTCAGTGGAATGAGTGCTAGCCTACGAACTGAAAGGTCGCTGGTTTGATTCCCAGTCAGGGCACATGCCTGGGATGCAGGCCAGGTCCCCAGTTGTGGCTGTGAGAGAGGCAACTAATCAATCTATCTCTTGCACATCGATGTTTCTCTCCCTCTCTCTAAAAATAAATAAATAAAATCTGTTTTAAAAACTGCTGACACTGAAAAATCTGATTTCCTATTAAAATCTGGATCTCTGGTTTCCCTGAACAGATAGGGAGATTCTGCTGTGTGTGCCTGCATTCTCACAGGCACTGCCAGGATGGGACTGAGTAGCAGCTGCTCCTGTTGGACGGGTCATGTGTGTGCCAGTAGGCCACAATCCCCACCACTCCCTACTGTGCTAACCAACAGCTTCACTCCTCTGTGTCAGTGTCCTAGACCTCACAGGCATTTGTGACCTTGACCACAGGGCCTCTTTGATCTGGCAGGCCTTTGCCAACAGCTGTCTCTAGTATATCCCCTTTTAGATGCTGCCTGGGAGCTTGTGTCCTGAGTTTCCCAATGAACTTGGTTGTGAAAGGGGTCTTTGCTCACACCCCACACCCAGCAGCTACTGCACTCCTCTGTTCAGCACTTTCTCCGCAAAGGGATCCAGGTTCCAGCCAGTGACCTCCTTGCACTTGGAAACTAAAGAACCAGAAGAAAGCACAGACCACACAACACAAACATATGCCCAGAGTAGCTGCAGTCTGCACCTGTTGTGGGTTTGTGTGGCCTCCCTCAGCCTCTCTAAACTCCACTTCCATTTTAAAAAGTTCTGCTAACACTGGGAAATGAAGTCAGAATGACTCCTGATCTGATCAGAAGGCCCTTCTCCAAAGGGACAAATGGGTGGACGTGTCAGAACACAGGGGGCCCTGGGAAGTGCTCACACTCTGCCTTTGAGACACGGTGCTTTGTGCATAGCCTGGGAGGGCCCAGTGACAGGAAGTGCCTTCTGAATTCCCTGTCCACCGGAATGTCAACTGGGCTGGCTGGGAAATCGTCCCAGTGTGCCACAGCCTACGGAATGCTTCCTTCTCCCTCTCAAACTGACCCCAAGTCTCACCTTTCAGTTTGCCCAAAGCCCCAGGACCTGGCCAGTGACTCTGTCCTCAGTCACTATGCTTCTGCAGACTGGAACAGGGTTTCCAGGGACCTCAGTCTCCTATTTTTAAAACTCTCAGGCAACCATTGCTGAAGTCTACCAGACCAATGACCTCTAACAAATAAATCATTCTTAGCAGATTTAAAAAATGGGTTTAACTATTTTTCCCTGGAAAAGATAACATTTTCTTAAAATATATTAGGTTTTGTTTGCAATTCTGCCTCTCTCTCTCTCTTAACCAAATGTAACATCTGCAAAGTTATTCTCTGTCCAGAAACAAGGACATTAAGGAACAGCTGGGTGATGGCTCAGGGTTCCAGAATTCACTGCAGGGAGTAGAGATTAAAGCCCAGGACAGGGACAGGATGGGGATGTCCCCAGAGTAAGCCAGCTGTGCTACTTCTCCACTTGTCCCTGGGTGGGGACAAAAGTCAGCCCAGTCAGTGGGCGCAGGAAGGCCATGTGGGAACCACTAGGCACACACTATGCACAGAGGTGTTTCAGGGCTGGGCCCTCAAAGCCACTGCAAATCACTCTGTGAAAACTGCGAGTCCTAGGGGCCTGGTGAGGAGGGTGAGAGGAGGTTCCCGCGGCAGCTCTGACAGGCGCAGGGACACTGGCCAGAGGCAGAAGCTGGGGGCAGAAAGAGGGTGTGGTGCAGGCCTCCCCCAGCTTCTAAGTTCATTTGGAGATCAGAGGGGCTTTCTGAGAACGCCACTCTGAGGTTCCTGGAACCATTGTTGACAATGGCCATCTCCTGGGCTCTCTTGGCCTGGTCTGACCGCCTACCCTCTTCCTAAAATTGATTTCTTGATTTCTTTTCCTCCCAGGCTTGGAAGTGGCCTGTTTCCCTCTGTCACGTTGTCATGTTGCATGGAGCTTCATGGTTAGATTGACTGAGGAAGGTCGGCAAGAGAGGAAGCAGGGATGGCCCAAGCACTCCCTCCATAAGTGGTCAGCCAGTCCTGCCCCTGTGGCTGGTGGGGGCGGTGTGGGGATGGCTCAGGAATTCCAGCACCCCCAGAACTGGAGGTCTAGATGAGGCTAACACCTGTATGAGGAAAAGCGAGGCTCTGGTATTCCCCATGTTACCCACATCAGCCAGTGGATGCTGCTGGTTGAAGTGTTCTCCTCCTGGTGTCCAACACCCCTGCTGCCCTCTGAGGACATGGAGACTGTAGGGCAGACACACAGAGAGAAACAGAGAGAGAGAGAAAGAGAGAGAGAGAGAGAGAGAGAGAGAGAGAGAGAGAGAGAGAGAGAGAGAGAGAGAGGGAAAGAGAGGGAAAGAGAGAGAGAGGGAGAGGGAGAGACTAACCGGTGGAGAAGAGGGAGGGGAAGGGCTGGTGGGGGGCCTTTAGTGAATAAAGGCAGCTTCAGTTAGTAAGATAACGTAATTGACAAGCTGCAAAAACAGCACCTACTAATTAGTCATTGACTAAAACATATAAATAATAAATATCTAAAGTGTCCTTTCTCTATATCCTCCATGGCCCATAGGACATCCTGCCTTGGTGGGTGGGGGATGGGGTGGTTTCCGGGGCAACAGCTGAAAGGGAACTGCAGTACCTTCAAACTCATGCAGGAGAGACACACCAAGGACTCGCTCTCCTGGGAAGGACAGTTTGCAACCAGGGATGGCACTTTGCCCATGGGAACCCTGTCCGTTGGGGGAGGGTGGGATCAGAGGAGGAAGGGAGCCTTTGGGGGGCTCTCAGAGGAACAGGGGGGCCTCCAAGGGACACATGGCAAGGAAACCCTCCAGGTCTCTGGTAACTTGGGCCATTTGAATAATACGATTGTTTAGGTTTTAAACCACCAGATATTCAAGCTTCCCACTTTTACACTGCATGTCAGATGGGCTTCTTGGCATCTCAGATAAAGAAGGGCATGAATTTAAAAGCCAAATCAGAAATGCTTTTTCCTTGATGTGGAAAGTCTGGTCCACGCAATTTGGTCACTCCCAACAGCACCAAGTGTGCAGTTGGTTCATGAAATTCTGGGGCGCCTGACCTCAGAACAGAAAGGCTCAGGCAGGTGACAGATACTGCTGTGCTGTCTGGCTCAGAAGTCTTGCTCCAAACAATTTCTATATGAGTTTCATGGCCATCGACCCCTGTGTTCCCTCTGTCAAGGATCAACAAGGTCATGGTCTTGGTCTCCTGGTTCATAAGTGGCTGGAGACTCAAGGTTCATCATCATCCTATTTTTCCTCAAGGGAGGGTGGCCTGGAACCCAGGACACTGGCAGTCACAGTTTGGTGGACCTCAGCCATGTCACACCAAAAGGCTTTCCTGCTCATCTACTTGCTAGGAACAGCTGGTGGGAGGCTACAAGCCACCCTGAGTTGGCTGCTTCCCTAGAGAGGGGCTCACAAGTGTGACTTTCTGTGGTCTGTCATTTCAGGGCTGGCACAAGGGTTTCCTGGACCAGAGGGGTGGAACGATGAGCTGAAGGGTGGGGCTGGAGATCAAACCCACCATCTGGGCAGTGCTTGTCAAACTGGGTTTTGCAGAGCCCTTAGGTTCTGAAGAGGTACCTTAGGAGATGCTCTTGGCAAAGGGACTGCCTGGTGGGCTGAGCTTAGAGAAAGAACCTCCCTCTCCCCAGCTTCAACCAGAGCAGCCTGGATTTCATCTGCGCATTGATTCCACCCATGACTGCGCTTAGTAAACAAAGTTCTGCTGCTCAAAGTAAAAGTTTGAGAATTACTTGTCTGGGGGGTTGGGTCATTGGAGGGGGAAGAAAAGGACCCTGTAGGACTTGAGGATCAGCCAGAAGAGGTAAGACTACACCCCCAGGAGCCAGCTTGCCAGATGCAGGTCATCAGCAGACCCTACTTTGGCCTCAGAACCTCCCTTCTCCATTATTCTATGGCTAGGAGAGCCCCTCCCACAAAAGGCACCCCCTGGGTGGGAGGCCACGGTCCAAGCCCCACAGGCCCTCTGGCTGTGTTCCCTTTAACATCCGCTGGGACCCACGCATGCCTGGTGCTACCTGAGCCGGCCGTCGGGCTTGACTGCTCCCAGCTCTGACTTAGGGTCAGGGCTGAAGGAACTCCAGGCTGTCTGGCTGCAGGTCTGCATGACCGGGCAGGCAGTGGGGCCTGTGGCACAGATGTCCATGGCAGTCCACATCCCGCCCACCAGTGAATCCAGCCAGTGCTCCAGCACAGTACCGGCGGAGGCTGCGTTCCTCTGAGCCTGCTCCACCTGGGCAGGGCTGATGGGCAGGCTGAGGACGGGGTTCAGACTCTGGAAGCTCTGCTCCATGTAGGCGCTGCGGTGTGGCCCGTTGTGCAGCTTTAGTGCCTCCTCTGAAAGCAAAGAGAACCATCACATTATTAGGAGAGCCACAAACCTGGCACCTACTGTGTGCCCAGTACCATGCTGGGCACTGTGCAGCACCACTTAATTCACAGGGCAATCTCATAAGGAAGTTATTTTTGCAGCCCCATTGTACAGATGAGGAAACTGAGCCCACAACAGTTATAACAGTTATAAGCCTGCTTAGAGCACAGCAAAGTTCATTTATTCATTCAGCACATATTTATGCAGCACCTCCTATAGTCTAGGCATTCACTCATTCATTTGATAAAGATAATATTGTTAAGTGCCAGACTCTATTATATGGGGTGCAGAGAAACAGACAGTCAAGGAGATTACAACCCAGTAGGTTATCCTGATGACAATAAATGAATAAACAAGTAAATAAATAAGGTTGTTTCAATTAGTTATAAGTGTCATGAAGGGAATAAATGGGGTACTGAGTCAGAGCAGGGGGTTGGCACACTATGGCCCTTAGGCCATATCTGGCCCCCAATCTGTTGTTGTAAATAAAGTTTTATTGGAGCATGGTTATGCCCATTTGAGTAGATATTGTCTGTGGTTGCTTCTGTCCTATAACATCAGAACTGAGTAGTTGACACAAAGACTGTAAGTGGCCCGCAAACCTGAATATGTTTACTATTTAGCCATTTATAGTAAAAGCCTTTTAATCTCTGAGTTAGGGAGTGACAAGGGTACTTATTGAATTTATTATCAGTTTTTGCTTTTATGGATTCCAGAGAGAGGGGAAAGAGAGGGAGAGAAACATCATGTGAGAGGGAAATATTGATAGGCTGCCTCTTGCACGCTCTCCAGCTGGGGACAAAACCACAACCTGGGCATGTGCCCTGAACAGGAATAGAACCTGCTACCTTTGGTTTGAGGGATGATGCCCAATCAACTGAGCCACACTGGCCAGGGCAAGGGTGTTTATTTTAGATGAGGTGAGCAAGGGAGACTCTGCTAAGGAGGTGACATCTGTCCTGAGAGCTGATTACTGTGAAGGAAGAAAGAAGCTACATACAGATCCTGGGGAAGAGAATTCTGGGCAGAGGGAACAGTGACCACAAAGCCTCATTAAGCATCTTTTGCTGAATCACATAGGTAATGACAGTTGGAGCTGGGGTTTGAACTAGGTCTGTTGATCTCAAAGCCTGGTGAGAAGCCCTGCTCTTGGATGCTGAGTACCCACCATGAACTCTGCATAAGTCACGATTTCTACTTTAGTCCCAGACATGGTGCATGAACAGCCCACAGGGAAGTATCCTGGGGAGCAGGATGATTGGACCAGAATGCGGGGGGTGGAGGTCCCACTGGCTCTCACACCTCTGCCTCGTTGAGCACCCATGCCTCAGGCAGAGCACAGGGACTTCAGTCAGGTTGTCTGGGTCTGAATCACTACATCCCACATATTAGGTGTATGACTTCTGACTTCAATGCCTACCACATTGAAGTTTCCTTATCAATAAAATGGGAGGGGTACTAACACCTTCCTCACAGCTTCATGATGATGAAATGTGCTGACTCACACACAGTGCTTAAAATGGCACAGAGCATATACTAAGCATTTGGAGAGGTAGCTAGAATGACTATTGTTGGTATTAGGACACAATAAACACATTCATGCACACAACTATTTGGGCTGGTGTTATTATACCCATTTTACAGACGGGGAAACAGGAGTAACTATATTAGAGATAGATTTGGGGTTATATCTAAGACAGGCTGACTCCAAAGCCGGTGTTTGTCCTCATGATAATCTACCACAGGCTCATCCACCAGCTGGGAGATAAAGCAATACTTTTGTTTTTGATTTTTTTTTTCATCTAGAAGCCAGTCTTTCAAAGACTTGGTTTACCCATCTGTAAAAAGGAGATACTCATCCTTGCACCAAGTGGACCCACTGGGCTGGCAAGAGGCTCAGGTTGAAGTTCATGTGCTTTGTCAACAGGAAAGGAACGTATAAACAAGAGGCACTATGACTACTTCCAGAGCTTAACCATGTGTAAGCAGAAAGTGTAGCCATTTGGGCTGAAGGAAAGAAGCCAGACATTTCTATTTTGAAGAAGTTCTTACTCATTGCTTATTTTATTGTCAAACACAACAATATGTATAATTAAAAATACCAGCTAATGATTCTGGTGAGAATTAGAGGAAACCTCCTTATGAGACAAAGTGGTGTTCAAAAGATCACACTTCCTGCTTGCCTGACAGTGCCTGTCACCCTCGGTGGCAACCAGGACAGCCTGAAGAGTCAGCAGATTATTTTCTAATATGTGTGGCCGAGAGTGAGGAAGGAGGAGGAAGATAGACTATATACATATGTCTGCTCTTCTACCCACAATGGGAAAACAAGTAAAATTAAAAATATGCCTTGACTAACACAGACAAGAAAGTCACTCCTGTTTCCAATGCTTCAGGAAGCTGGGGGGCTGGGCTCTGTGGTTTGGAGGGCAGCAAGTGGGAGAAAGGAGACTGGCAGGCATGAGCATATACCTTGTCTTGCTGTGATTTAGCAGAGCTTCTCCCTTTCAAGTTAGGTCAGTCCCTGTCTAGCAGTCTGGCCCTAGCCCATTGCTCCCTAAAGCTGGCAGACAGGGTAGGCAGCTCCTGTATCATTTTCCAGGAGAACAGAGTCTGTTGTCTTTGGTGCAGGTCTCATTTCTCTACCTGAGCCTTTCAATGCCTCCATCTTGCAGATGGGAAGTGGGGAGATCCCCAAACCAACAAAACACAGGGCACACAGAGTGAAGAGAGCAGATAAGGCCCAGGCCAGGTGGCTCAGCTGACTGGAGCATTGTCCCGTATACCAAAAGGCCGCGGGTTTGATCCCTGGTTGAGGCATGTATGGGAGGCAACAAATTGACGTTTCTCTCTCATATCGATGTTCCTCTCTCTCCCTCTCTCTCTAAAATTAATAAACATATTCTCACGGTGAGGATTTAAAAAAGAAGAGAGAGCAGCTAACAAACATCTGAACAGCAAAGATTGTGGTTGGCGCAGCAAACCCTTGTGAAAAGTGAGGTTAATGTGGGGTGTGCTCTTACAGCATCAGCCTGCAGTGCTTGCCTCTGTAATTAAATTTCCCTCAATTCCACCTCATCACATTTCTTGAGATTACTAGGGATGCATCAATAGCAAATTACTCTTGATGAATCACTTTACAAATTGCATGGCTCCCACCTTCGTGTTCCCTGTCACTGGAGCATCGTTACCAGATACAATTACCAACGGCAGAGGAGGGGTGAGGGGGTTCCCCCAGTGGGGTAAAATGACCTGTGGCTCACGCTGGGCACGGGTGGGAAAAGCCTTACCCTCCTCAGAAACTCCAGAAGAAAACTGGAAACCTCAGAACCCAGTGAAGGGCCTGGAATATTTTACTGGGCTGGGGGTGGATCTAGGACCACTCCTTTGTTCTGTCCAACAGGTGCACCCGACACAGAGGAGGCTGCCATTTCCAGCACTGTCCTCCACATCTGACTGTGGGAATCCTGAGGGTGTCAAGGATGTGAACCTGATCAAGGGACACTTGAGGGCCCTAAGTGGCTGGGTGCTGGCCCAGACAGTTCTGGAGGAGCTGTCTTTCATCTCCAGAAAACATAAGGTCACTATCCTTCTGCTTTCTCAGCACAGAAACTTAGCAGAAGTCAACAGAATTCACTTCAACGGTCCCTTTGTTAGGAACTCCAGGCATTCCCTCCCCATATCTATGTCCCCCTCTCCTTGTACCAATGGCTAAATGGCACCCAGCTCTGAGCTCTTAGCTAACAGAGGCCGTAATTGTTTCCGGCTTCTGGGTTTGCAATCTGTTAGGTGGAGACGGACAATCTCAAGTACCGAGAGACCCAGAAATCCTGTTCCTAGGAATCTATCTTATGGATGTATCTGCATGGGCACGTATAGTTTTAGGTTCAAGAATCTTCTTTGCAGTGTTATCTATGACAACAAGGACAGAAGCTATGTGTCTACTGATGGGGACAGATAGACTGGGGCTCCTGAATCCAAGGGAATGGTCTGCAGCTGGTGGCTTTATCTATGCTGACTTGGAAAGTGAACAAAGCAAATTTTACTACAAAATGTATCATTCTGTCTTTACAAAATGACAACGTTGTGTGTTTATGTGTATGTTTTAAAAGCACTGAGAAACCTCTAGAAGGATGCAAACCAAGCTTTTGGCAGTGGTTACTCCTGGAGGTAGGACTGAATGGGCTGGAAGACGTTGCCAGTGACAAAAGGAGAGGAGGAAACAGAAAAATAAAAGTAGCCCTTCTGGATGAAAACAGAACAAAAAGGCAGGCACGGTAGGTCGGATAGCCCTCTCTCTGCCCTCCAGGCTCTGTGGAAATCACCATCCTGAACTTTATTCATAGTTCCCTTAATATCCTCTCAGTTTTCTGCAGACACATAAATTCTGAACTAATATACCATTGGCTTGTTCTGGTTTTAAAATTTAAACACCTGCGCCACCATTATGATTCCTTCCCTGGTGGTTTCCCCTCAATATTATGCCTTAGAGACTCACTTCAATGTCCCCTCATCAATGTTCACTGCTGCGTAGAACTCCACTGTCTGCCCAGGCCACATACTGCTTTTTCACTCAAGCAGCAGACATGTGGATTCTTTCCAGTTTAGTGCTGTTATGAAAAGTTATGCTCCATTTCTGCCCAGGTCTCCAGCACATACCCCTAGGGAAGGTCTTGCTGTGGGGCAGGGTGTGTGTGTGTTCAATTTCACTAGGAAATGCTAAACCACTTTCCAAGCTCATTTCATCATGTTACCCTCCCAGCAGACTAAATGGATGGTTATTAATCTCCAGCCTTCCTGCCATAATGAGACTGTCCAACCTTCCAATGTGTCCCAACAGGACGGGGGTAAAGTGGGGTCTCTTTTTGCTTTTAATTTATATTTCTATCATTATTCATAAGGCTGAGCATGCTTTTATGTGTGTGTGGGCCATTTATGCTCTCTCTCTTTTTTTTTTTCACCTTACAGCAGAGGTTAATAATCATTTTTCTACAAAAGGCAAGATAGCAAATAATTTTGGCTTTGTGGGTTGTGTAGCTTCTGTCACAACCATTCCACAATGCCATTGTAGCCCCAAAGTAGACAGAGTCAATACGTAAATGAATGGGCGTGACTGTCCCAGTGAAACCTTATTTTCAAAAACAAGAAGTGGGCCAGACTGGGCCTGGGCTTATAGCTTGTGCTGATTTATGGAATCTCTTCATATATTCTGAGTATGAGAACTTTTTTATGTGCAGTATGTATTCTCCACTAGTGTGTGGTATGTCTTTTCACCTTGTGCAGTGATTTTCAACATTTTTCACCTCATGGCACACACAAACAGTTCTGCAGCACACCAAAAAATATATTTTTTACTGATATGACAAAAAAATAGGTATAATTTTGATTCATTCACAGCAGATGGCTGTTGTGTGCGCTGCTGTCATGTTTTTACTTGACAACCTAAGAGAAAAGAGGTCAGTGCCCCTGACTAAGTAGTCAGGAACTGCAGGTTTTAAAAGTCTTGTGGCACACCGTTTGAAAACCATTGATCTTGTGTATCATATTTTTGATGAACAGAATTTCCTCTTTTAATTCTTATTTTTTAAACAGTGAACAAGCTTTGCTGAAACTCAGTATCTGCCTGGGTTTATTTTCCATCTTGTTTTCAATATGATCAGGGCCTTCTGGGAGTTCAATGAGAGAGCATCTAATAAAAAAGTATCTAATTTATGGACAGATGACATCATCTCAGTGTGCAGGTGGAAAAGCACACATTGAGAGCAGAGAGCATTGTTCTCAAAAGTGGCCCCCTCTCCCCACTCTGGGCAGCACTGCCTGCTCAGGCCAAGAGCCCACGAGGCCTCCGGGATGGAACATCTCCCCCAGAGACACTGGGAATACTCACCTGGCTTGATGGGCTGCCTGTTGGAGAAGGTCAGAGGTGCGATGAGGAATTTGGTCTCTGCAACTGGCACCCAGTGGTGGAGAATTTTCACTGTCCAGACCCCAGGCCTCAGAGGCAAGTTCAAAGGGGGCTTGTAGTGGGTGAATTCAGCAGTGGACTCAATCAGGATGTCATAGGTGGCTGCGATGACGTTGACGGGATCCACCCAGACGACGGTCACAGTCACGTTGGGGCCCTTCCCCCACTTCTGCATGCCCACCGGCTCGTCCATGGGCCCCAGGAGACCCCCAAAGTTGCGGAAGAGCCGCTCCTTGGCGTCCCATTCGGTGCCAACCTGAAACCGGAGAGTGAGTCCTGAAGTCACTGAGCCTGCGTGCACGGGTGCTGGGTTCCGGAAAGGCCTAGCTAGGGTCCTACTTACTGGGTTTCATATACTCATTTTACAGATGAAGATATGGGGAAACTGAGGCTCCACTTAAGTTACATGCTCACAGTCTGACAGGCAGTGAGCAGAAGATTTGGGGTTTGGACCCAGGTTGGGGGATCACATGGCCTGTGATGCGTTCACTAAACCTTTGGGCCTCTTGTGTCCAGCACATGGTATGTGCTTTGGGAAAAAACGTGCACTGAACGAATGACTGCTTACAGGCCATTCCAAGGACTCATACCCCTAGCATTCAATAGTACAGCTGGTTTCCACTTTGCTGTTTGCTTTCCCAGATTATGTGCCTCCCTTTAGTGTGACTGTTCTGAACAAGCCTGGAGCTCAGGTTTTGGAGCTGCCATGTTATGAGCTAGAAAAAGAGAGGATCCCTCAGCATCACCTGGCATTGGCAGGAGTTCACACGGGCTTTCTGAGGAAGAGACAGCTCTGGCCTCCACAAAGCTTTCTGAGCTGTACCTGAGGGATAGGAGGTGGTTGTACCATCCATCCTTCTTGCCAGCCAGTGAATTCATGGCTTTGACCCTCCACAAATCCACTCTTGCCTTTCCCCCTTCCACTTTGGTCACCTGCAGTCTAGACCCACACAATTAGCCAAAGAAACCTTGGGAATTGTCTGCATACTGCTCAAATCCCTGTGCCTGGGTCCACTGCTCTCTCGTGGTGCCTAGCACTGTGCTTGGCATGCAGCAGGTGCTCAGTCAATGTCCGCTGAGTGAGTGACTTGACAAAAAAATGAATGAACTGCAAGATCCCTGATACTGAGCTCTGTTGCTGTTTCAAATCAAATTAAATTAGGGCCTTCTGCTCCCCAGGAGTTTTAATTTAATGCTTTTGAAGACACAGCATGGGGCACACTGGTAGCAGATAATGAGCACACTATAAGGCTTGCACTGCTTCTGTGGTCGTTCCATGACCAGCATTTCCAATGTGCATGTCTGCAGGTCCGGGTGCAGGTGAGGGCATAAACATCTACACCCTGAGAAGAGCCCACATGTATGGTGCAGGCAGGAGCTGGTTTCCCTTCTCCTTGTTCTCACCATGAGTCACTGTGTCCACTCTCTCCCCAGAACACAGAGCTACATGGCTAATATGTACTGAGGGCTCACACCAGGCATAATACTAAATGCCTGGATACATCAACTCATTTAACACTCACTTCCAGCTGCACAAAGAGAAGACTCTTGTCATTACCCCCATTTTACAAATGAGGAAACTGAGGCTCAGAGCAGTTAGATAACTTGCTATGGTCAGCAAGGGGCAAAGTCACAGGGGGACACAGGAAGTCTGACCCCAAAGGCTGTGTGTATTCTTATCTACTCTTCTATGGATTGCCTCCCATTCATTAACTCACTCACACACTCGCTCACGCATTCATTCATTCAACATACGTGTACCAAATGCCTATCAGGGGGGCTGTTATGTGGCATGCACATTCATAGGCCCACAACTTGCTTCAGTTTTCTGTCTTTAGACCATAGCCTAAAGAGTGGTCCTAAGGGTAGCAGAGGTAATGACTGCTGTGACATTTCTGCAGGGGCACCATCCCTCCCAGACTTGTGAAACCTTGGCATTTTTGCCACCCTGTGGATCCCAGGGGCTGGCTGCTTCTGAGGACCCCTGGCGTCTAGTATACTGGCTGGAACATGGTAGGAATCAAAAGATACTACTGACTGAAAAAATAAATGAATGAGCAGGAATCAAGCTACACCTCAAAGTCTTAGAGATTTTTCTAAAGAAACCTGATACCACATGCAATCCTTTTTAGCATCTCATTGTTCTTAAGTCCAGTCTCTCACTGTCCTCTGAGGTCTGGTCCTCTTGGGTCCGCTCTGTTTCTGCCCCCTTCTTTCCCCTCCACTCCCACACCCCCCAACTATAGAAATACTCTCAGGGCCTCCTGGAGAAGGGCTCTCTCTCACCTCTGATCTTGCGTCCATGCCCACCTCTCTTTGCCCAGACTGCCTTACTTTCCCCACCCTCTTTCTAACAAGCTGTTATTTATCATTCAGACCTCAGTCAGGGTGTCACCTATATTGGGAAGCCTTCCTTGCTTAGAGCCTCCACTGAGGTATGGTACTTCTCTAAGCATTTGCCCAATGCAGCTTTTTTTTTGGGGGGGGGGTACAGTATTGCAACCTTTAATTTAGTCTCTCTCCCTAGCTCAACTGTCAACTCCAAGAGAGTAGGGACAACGTCCAGCTTGTTCATTAGTGTATTTCTAGTGCCCACAACAGTGTTGAGCACATAGTAGGTGCTCAATATATCTCTATCTCTATATTTATCTAATTACTCATTGATCTACCTATCCACCATCTCTCTATGTCATGAATGATTAGGGACTAAGCATCAGGACACCCTTACGCACCCAGGCCCTACACACGCTGACTTTCCCACAGACACCGACAAATGGATTGATGGTCACAAAACTGTGTGAGGGTTCTACTTCAGGAAGGGATTACTGACTGGTTAGGGGAGTGTGGGGACACTCCAGATATCATCCTTGGATCCTCCATAGAATTGCGGGCGAATAAATCTCTGAAGTCTGAGTGCTAAAACCAAAATAACCTGGGCAGAGGAGTTGTAAAGTGTCTGACGGTGAAAAACCTAGATCTTGTTTCTAAGCTTTGAGAGGAGGAGGAAGTCAGCTGCAGCCCAAGCATGAGGGAGGAGGGTCTGCCTGAGGTGGGGCACTGCTGCTATCACATTCTCACCATTGCTCTGGGAGTCCACTCCAGTCACTACAAAATGATCCATTGCTCATATTTAAGCACATGTTCAAGTTCAAGCTAAACATACTGCTCCCCAGCTTTAAACCCACCAAAGCCTTCCCATGACACTTAAAATACAATCCAAACTTCTTCCCTGGGCCAGCAAGACCCCTTATGATCTGTCCCCCTGTCCCCCCAAAGACCTCCTTCCTGTCACTCTCCATCTTGCTCACTGTGCTCTGGTCACACTGGCCTTGCTGCTCCTTGAGCATGCCAAGCTCCTGCCTGGAGCCTCAGGGCCTTTGCACAGGCTCTTCTCTTAGAAGATCAAGATCCAGGTTGTTCACAGTTTTCAGCTCTAAAATTATTTTGGAAAAGCCTTCCCAAATGAATCATCCCTTTGAAAGTAGTCCTCATCAGCCTCTCTAGTCCTCAGCAATTACATGCATGGAATTTTCTTTTCTTTTTATTAATAATTGTTCATATACAGTTTTGTCCCTTTTTACTCCCAATCCAGTTCCCCCTCCCACCCGCCCCCCCTTCCCTCCCATTACCACCCTCCCCTTAGTCTATGACCATGTGTCCTTTAAGTTTGTTCCTGTGAACCCTTCCCACTGTCCCCTTAAATTCCCTCTTCTCTCCCCTCCGGTCACCATCAGCCTGTCCTCTATTTCAGTGTCTTTGGATACATTTTGCTTGTTTCTTAGAATTTTATTTTCTTTGTACAGTACTTGTTATTAGTTGAAATTTTTTCATTCATTCATTTGCTCACTCTTTGGCTGCCCCACTTACAGATCAATTCCACGACAATAAGAGTCTGGTCTGTCCCTTGGGCACCTCGCATATCATAGGCAGTCGGTGACTCTCCAAGCCACAAGCATGGGACTCCTACGGGATTGAGAAATCCATCAGAGCTGCCCACCTGCTGTGAGCCAGGCCCTGCGCACAGCCCCAGGACTGTGACAACATGAAGGAGCTTCTCTACAGCCCACAAAGTGGCCCTGCCATTCTTTCCCTCCTTCTTGTCCAATTTTACATTTGTCTTAAAGTTAAGGCTTTAGAAAAAAATTTGAAATGCATGATTCAGGGCTCCTTGCATTACATGTTGGTATTCTGCCAACGATCTTGGTGGCCGTCACACCAAGGGTACCATAGCTATAGTAGGAACCCTCACAAATCACCAGCCACGAATGGCCGGCATCATTTGTCACTGCCAGAAGTGCCCAGTCTCCCAACGGCAGGCTGATAAACAGGGAGAGCCCAGTCACCAGGCATCCATCTCATTAATGGGACATTAATGTCTTCAATGGGCCGCTTGGGCACCCAGCACAGACTCCAACTGGGGCAGCATCTAATTGCCCCCTGGCGCCAGTAATTTATGGAGTGGGCTCCCATGGCAGCTCAAATCCAGCCAACCCATTTGGAGCCTTAATTAGAAATGGTGGCTTCACAAGAACCCCTACCCTTGCCTATTTAGTGCCTATTCAGTAGGGCATGGGTCAGCCAGGTGGGGCCATAAGGGGCTGGAAAGAGACCAGGTGGGACACTTAACACCAGCCCACTCCCATCCCTCAAGATTCTCCACATTCTAAAATCGGCCCCTAAGCCAGAGACAAACTCATTGAGGGTGCTTAACTCCAGAAATGGATCATTGCTTTAGCCACTTGCTGACGTAAGGAAGGCAGAAATCCGTGAGGAGTTTTGTGTGGGCAACCCTCACCAAGCTTGATCATGTTCCCCCTTCCTTCTAGTGTCACCAGCAAAGTGCAGGCATTCATTCAGTCAGAAATCTTTTTTAGCATCTACAAATGCTGCATCCTCTTCTATGTGCTGGGGATACAGCAGTGGGTGAGAGTGATACTGCCTCAGCTCTCTTGTGGACAATCACCAAGTGATCAGAGAAACCACCAAGATGCTGCTAGATGGTAAATGCTAAGAGAAAAAAATAAAGTAAGGGTGTGCCAGGTGGAGAATATAGCTATTGTGGCATAAGTGGTTGGGCAGGGGAGGTACATCATTAGGATTTAGATCGGAATGATCCCCTCCCCCTCAAATAATGAAAACCTGAAGGAAAGTGCTCTGGGCAGGTAGACCAGCACAAGCCAAGCCTGAAGTAGGAACAAACTTGGCATGTTTGACAAAGACACAAGTGTGAGTGGGGAGGAGAGTGGTACTGGATGGGGCTGGAGAAGAAGACAGGGCAGATCAGGTCTGGAGGTAGGGCTGATGTTGCAAGGGTGATGCTGGATCAATCATCTCCTCAGGCAGAAAAATAACTAAAAACTGATGCTGTACTGGAGAGGTGGAAACTGCATTCCATAGATCTATGCACCCATGCACCAGTCCATCTGTCCAATCACTGACACATTGTCTGTCCGTCCGTCCATCCATCCACCTGCCTACCCATCTGTCCATCTGTCCACCCATATGTCCATCCATCTAGCTATCTGTCCATCTACTCATCCATTCAATGATTGATCTGGAACTTATTTTAACCTAAACCCTGTGCTAAGAACTGGGGAGAAAAAGCACAATTAAGCACGAGATTTGCAGCCTGAAAGATCTTGGTTCAATTTTGAGCTCTGCCACTTCCTAGCAATGATCCAGAAAATCATTGAATCTCCATAGGCTTCAGTTTCCCAATATGTAAAATGAGACTACTGCTACTACTTCACTAAGAAACCTGTTTGTTATTGGTCTATTACTAACACAAATTTAGGAGGACTTACCAGGTAGAATAAAAAAAATAACAGAAACAGAAATTCTACTATAAAAAAATAGACCAGGGCTCTGGGTTGGCTTGGTCCACTGTTCCTCTCCTCCTGCCCTGTTTAAGATGTCAGTTCCAGTATTTGAAGCTGAAGAACCTTCTCCAGGCACAGAGAGAGCTTATCCGTGGGGTTCTCCAAGTCCCCTTTCCTCCATTTCCTACTACAGGTGTCAGATCATAGAACAGGATCCAGCAAGGGGGATGGTAAAGGCAGGGAATATGACAAGGTCTGGCCTCTTACCTCGGAAAACTGAAGCCTCCCAAAGTCGCTGGGTGGGCTTGCGATCTTGAAGACTTTCTTTGGCATCACCCATGTCTCCAGGGTCTCAAGTTTGCTCACTGCCAGATTAGTAGCATGATGCTTGATCAGAAAGCCCTGGAAGCGGTCAGCAAGGAAGTAGAGGTGGACAGAGGCTGGGTGGCCCATTGGATAGTACCTGAAAAACACACACTGTCTCATAGGAGCTCATGGGTCAGGGCTGGAGATGTGCAGGCTCACAGTGGAGTGCCACCCATTATGCTGGTCCTGTTCCTAAAATGAACCCCACTTTCGACAATGCTCATCATATTCCCGAAAGCTGCCACTTGTGTATCTATGATCTCAGTAACTATTAACAACAGCTTTTTGGTGGATTATAAGTGTAATGTATGCTGACTGTATGGAAGCGCAATAAAGAAAACAAAAATTGCTACTCTTGATGCTTCTTTTCATAGACGATGTCAATTCATGGATATTTATTGACCCTCTGGGGCTAGGTACTGGGAAACAACAACAGTGTGCAAACAATGTCATATTGACATATTTCCCTTCAGCCTTATTTTCTATGCATATATTTGCATAAATCTTACATAGCTGAGATCACAATATACATATTGGTTACATTCTGCTTTTGCTTCATACTATTTCTCGAGCATTACCATATGTTTTTGAAAATTCTCTGAAAACATGATATACATTATTCCACTGTATGTAATGCCATATTTTACAAAGCAAGTTCCCCATCATTGGCTGCTTAACTGGTTTCTAATGTTTTGGCCACTCTAAACAATACTGCATTAAACATCCTTGACCAAAAATGGTTTTTGGAACATCTGTCTCTCTAATCTCCAAGGAGCTCTCTATATATCTGCCGTCCAACTTTATCAGAAAGGGTGTACTGATTTATGCTCTCACTGTCTTTCTCAGTCACAGCATTAGGTATTATCCTTAAAAATTAATCGAAGATCCATATATCCATACACAAAGAGGTAGCTGTTGTTTTAAGATGTATGTCTTTGATCTACAAAGGCGCACTGGGAGAAAGGGGCAGAGAAACTAAGCAGAGATGCCCCAGGAGGGAGTAAAGGAGGGGGGAACTTTGGAGGAGCCCAGCTTTGTCTTTCCTACTTGTAAAATAAAAGGCTGCTGGCTTCCACAATGTGTAAATTGCACAGCACTTAGAGGGTGCTTGTGGCTCCTTAATAACAGCGTTCCACAAATCACTGTTCCTGCTCAGTCTCCTTCCTTCTGGTCCTGATGTGGAGCTTAAATCTTTATGTCTAATTATAATGGTTAGGGAAGCCGCCTTCCTGTGTTTATGCATCTCTGGAAATCACTGCCTAGTTACTGAGATGCCTCTGGGGCTGTGAGAAAAAAGCCCACACCCTCTTCAGACAGCTCGCTGGGCATTGCAGCTCACTAAAGCCCACTTTGGGCCTGCACTCTGGGAGCAGAAAACCCTCACCCTGGACTGTGCTGCAGACCTTTGTGCTGTGAAGAGACGGTGGTTTACAGCTGTGCTCTTCAATACAGTAGCCACTAGTGACTACTGAGCACTTGAAAGGTGGCTGGTGTGACTGAGGAACTGACTTTCTTATTTCATTTCATTTTCATTCAAACTTAAATACCCACTGGTGGCTAGTGGCTACTATACTGGACAGCATAGATAGTCGTGGTAGTCTTGTGGTCACCTGCATCATGTCTCCAATTCTCCCCCTCTCCTGTTCCCATGCCTCTTTCCATGTGACTTTGCAGTTTTCCTTGCCCCAAGGAGGCAGACTCTGTTTCCCTCCTCCTGAATCTGCTCTGGCCAGCAGAAGGTGGTGGGAAGGGGCTCATGCCTGTTCCCAGCCAGGCCTCAAGAAGCCTTGCACATTTCTTCTCTTGGTCTTTTGGGATGATGGCATGCCTTTGTAGACCAGGTGAGGATTTTATCGTAAGCATTAAACAAAACCACTTGTGATACTTAAGCAGGGGACGATGGATATGGCTATTATGAGGTTATAGTGGACAAAAGTAGGAAGCAGACATAAAAAAGCTCCTGCAAAGGTCCAGGTAAGGCATGGTCATGGCTTAGACAAGGATGCTGGCAGTGCACAGGGGAGTAGAGGATAAATTCAGGTGGAGACAGCAGGATTTCTTAAGAGAAGAGGGGGAAAGCAAGCAATCAAAGATTAACTCTTAGTTACCTAGGAGTTAATTCCTAGGTTACCTGGAAGCATGCCTGGGCTAGTCTACTGGAGGATGAGACACTGGGGCAGGGCAGAGTCACCCCAGTGGTCCCAGACAACACCTCCCAGCCAAGAACAGCAGAGCCCTGCTCTCAGCTTGCAGCAGCTGCATATTCAGGAGAAATGTCAGCTGAGTCCAGGAACACTGCCCAACTGACATGCAAACTTGAGCACTACGTCAGGTCAATGCTTGTCATTTCCAAACACTGATTTTTGGGTTTATTTGTTATGCAGCGTTATTGCAGTAGCTAAATAATGCACTGTCAACGTTCCTTCTGTAAGGTGGGTGGGGTCAGTGGGAGTGGAAGAAGAAGAGGAGAGCTTGCTGGCACGGGAGTCAAAAGAAGAAAGTTTGCAGAAGGAAATGGTCAATCATAGGAGGTGGATCTCAGGGGTCTAGGAGATGAGCAATGGTCAAGCACTCTAGAAACCAAGGAGGTAATCTTTGATTGCTTGCTTTCCCTCCCCTTCTATTAAGAAATCTTGCTGTTTCCACCTGAATCCATTCTCTACTCTCCTGTGCACTGCCAGCATCCTTGTCCAAGCCACCACCATGCTTCCTTACTTGTCTCCGCCCTATTTTCATCCACTATAACCTCATATAGCCATATCCACCGTCCCCTGCTTAAATACCACAGGTGGCTTTGCTGAATGTTTATGAAGATATCCAAATGCCTCATCTAGTTGTCGAAGCCATGCCTTGTTCTCTCGCCTCATTTTGTGTCCCACTGCCCCAAACCACCAACTTCCAGCCACATGGACCTTGTTTGGGATTCTATACATATATTATTTTGGATTCTAGAACACACTAAGTGCACTTCCACCTCAGGGCCTTTGCACAGGATATTCTCTGTGCTGGGAATACTATTCTCTTAGACTACATGGCTGGCTCTGTCTTATCATTTTGCTTAAATGTTACCACTGAGATCTTCCTTGACTAGTGAATCTTAACACACCAACTCATTGCTATTATGTGAATTCACCTTTCTTCTCAGCAGAGCATTTATCCCTACTGATCTTGTTTACCAGTGCTTAGGCACAGTCTGTCTTCACAGACAGAATGAGAGGGCCTTGACCTCAGGGGCATGGCCTATCTGGGTCATGGCTGAGTGCCCAGAGCCTAACACAGAGTCTGACACATGGCAGATGATCAACCAGTATTTGTAGATTGAGAGAAAAAAATTCCAGAAGGATTTTCTCTTGAACCCTTTGCTTCAGAGGTACATCTAGGGTACATGCAATCCAGGACTGAATGAACATGAAGCCTTCTGGCACTTACCTTGGCTGTATGGTACTTGTCTTGGCTATATGATTTAATTAAGTATAAGGTAATTAAAACTAAGAAGGCAGTTCGTTTTAATTAGATGCAATGCAACAGAGCCTAAAGGATGCCACAGATGCATTCATTTCACCCAAAGGTGAGTTTTTTCTTAGTTAAATACGGGGACATTGAAAAAATTAGGAGACTCACAAAAATACAGATTTCTGATTTGCCTTGAAAAATCGTTGGCAGCTCAATGTTCACATTCCCACAGGGCAAGAATGTGTGGGAGCTCAGCACCAGGGGCTGCGAGGCTCCAGGCTGGCACGGTCAGCCCTCACTGCAGGGCCAGCACTGACTGACACATGCTACTTGCCTGGCCCAGGAGGGCATTTGAATTCGAGGACTGACAATACAATACTGACATCTTTATCTCTGGAGGGTGCTCACAAGCAAACTTTATTTTCTTGTTCTCTCCATCTGCCATTTCAAGAATTTCTGCAACAAGCATGTGTTATTTTATAATGAGAAAAAAATCAATAAACATTATTTTTATAAAAGGTTATGCCACAGACTGGAAAGACACAATTTGCATTAAGTGCCCAAAGGAAATGAGACTCTTGAAAGAAAGTTTACACTTGCTGTTTCCCCAGATACCCTAGGGGTAGGAATTTACTGTTTTTGCCTTTTGGGATAAGGATCCTTTGTCCTGATTTATTTTCAGGCTCATATTCACAAATATATCAGCTTTGCCCACAGCAAGGCACAGTGGCTGTATTCTAATAAAAAATGAGCAAGAAGTCAGAGGATTCCAGGTTGGAGGCACTTGAAGGCTCACTTAACCCCAAAACAAGTACTGGGAGAAAATTTCAACAACTTAAATAAACTGGGGGTATCTTTTGGAATTTCCTATAAAATCATTTACCTTATAAATTCTAAGAAGCCCGGGATTAACATTACTCACGAAAGATATTCAGCTCCCAAGTGTGGCACTGGGCTGTGTACTGGGGATTTGGCTGTGCTTCTGCAAGCAAGGATGCTGCCCCAAGACCCGTAAGGGGACCAGATCCTCACTGTGGACCCTGACCCAAGGCACTGCTCTGAGTGCAGAGGAAGGGCTGGAGTAAGTGGGGGGTACTTTCAGCTTGGGAGAGGGAGGGGGTGGGCTATCAGGGGGAGCTCTCAGCAAGCTCCACAGGGGATGTGGCACTGGAGACAGCCCTAGAAGACTGGGAAAGGGTAGGCTGCTACGGGGACAGAGGGGGCAGTAAGCAAAGGAAGGCACAGAGGGAACAATGAGCAGGTCACATAACTGCAAGTTACGGAGTGTGTAGCTCACACACTAGGCTCCCCGTTGACTTTGCCAGCTTTATAATAATGGCATGAACATTTACTAAGCACTTTCTGTTAAAATGGGGACAATAATAATAAATATAATAAGGTCGTTTTTGAGGGTTATCTCCTTTAAACCTCATAATACCTTATGCTGTAAGCCTTATTATTATTCCCATTTTAAAGATGAGGAAACTGAGAGACAGAGAGGTTCGTCATTTGTCCCAGGTCAACAGGCAGCAAATGAGAGTTAAGTTCAATCTTCAGGTCCTGGGTTCCCAACCCTGGACCCAACACTGGGGTTTCTATAAACTAAGCGGGAACCTGCAGGGGGAGAAGAGAGGGCTGAGGCCGTGAGGAAGTAAGGCAAAACTGTGGCAACCCTGCAGAAACCCAGCTGGCCACGTGTGAGGTCCCAGCCAGGAAGCTTTCCCACATTTTCAGGATTTTAGGCCACAGTTCCTGAGAAGAGGGAAGAGTTGGGCAAGGTGGGGCACATAGGGGAAGCCTCAGTAGAAAGAGACTGATGTTAATTATTTTTTTCCTTAAAAGAGGGAGGAGGGAGGAGGAAAAGGGAGTACAAGAAAGAGGAGAGTGAATAGAGGCACTTATGGAAAAACAGCCTAAAAAATAATTGGAAGAAAAAAGAAGGAAGAAGTGAAGAGGCTTTCTGCAAACAGATATTCATCAGGATATTGTTTACAATGGCCCATTGCTGACAATAGCAACAGGAAAGGACTGGATTAAGCAAACTCTGGAGTTTCTTTCTACTCAGTGGAACACTAGCAGAGTTAAAAAACATTATTAGCATTATGAAAGCTGCAGAGCAGTGTGGGAGAGGGGGCCAAGGGGGCTAATATTGCAGGACACAGAATTCTTGTTGTGAAAATGTCTGTATCTGTGATGTACATGGCTAGAGAAGAGAAGAAAAGCCACACAAAATGAAAAGGACTGCTTGGCTTAGGGAAGGACAGTGGAGGGAAGGAGATTATGTTGAATTCTTTTCCTACCTTCCCCTCTTCTTTCTATACATTCTAGAACACTCTTTCGTCAAGTGTCAACTGGTACCTGCTAGTGGCGGGTGAGATGATCCTAAGTAATACCTGGAGGGGTACTTGAATGTTTTAAATAACAGTTTTGCATTTTGATGATGCCTTTGGTTATATTTTCAGGTGTGGTCATGATAATATGGCTATGTTTTAAAATGGAGCCTTCACTTTTCAGAGACATACATGAACATGCTTACGGCTGACGTGACATGGGGTCTGGGACATCCCTCGATCACACCGATCGGGGCGGGTGGGGGGGGGCGGCGATGAAGCAGGCTCAGTGGAGCCGGTTCCTGCTGGAGCCGGGTGATGGGGGCGCTCAGTGTTAATGTATTTGACTTTTTCCATAATATAAAGTTTAAAACAGTTCTGAATTTCCATGGTTACCTTCCATTTAAGACAAACAGAACTATATAATATGGTGACATAGAGCCTCTTTAAAAAAAAATCCTCAGTTGAGGATATGCTTATTGATTTTATAGAGACGGGGAAGGAAGGGGAGAGAGAGAAGAAAGAGAGAGAGAAGAAGAGAGAAACAGTGAAGTGAGAGAGAAACATTGATCGGTTACCTCTCATGTGTGTCCTGACTGGGGATCAAAACCACAACCCAGGTGTGTGCCCTGACCTGGAATCAGACCCATAAACTTTTGGTGCACTAGACAGTGCTCCAACTAACTGAGCCACCTGGCCAGGGCTAGGGCTTCCCAAAATACATATGCTTAGCATAAAGAACGAGTCCAGAGAAAGGAAATAACTGGGTAAATACTACATCAGGTATTCTGAAAGCGTAAAATTCTGATGATGGCTTATCAGGGACATGCTTTGAATGCTGGGATGGTTACACAAATGCTTTTTAGGCAAAGGAAAAGAAGGAGAAGCACGAAGCAAAGCCCCTAACACAGAGGGTGATCTACACCCTCCTTCCCGGCCCAGTTCCTGTCCCTCCCTGACCCTCTGGACATCCCCTTGGCTCACCGGCAGCTGTTCTCCCCGTCTGTGTGCAGCGAGGTCTCAGCTCGCCGGAGGCCCAGGCGGGCGAAGGAGTGGTACAAGGTGAGCATCACGTCGCTCAGGCTGTGGATACCATCGGGCTCATCGTAGACGTTCTCCCAGTAGGAGCGGAGGCCAGGGGTGCCTGCAGGGTAGTTCCCGTACAGATAATAGTCCAGCTGCCCGATGATCTCCTGATTCACCACGGCTTCGAACTTGCGGGCAAAGAAGGTGGGCCTGGCTGTCTGCTGTGCTCAAGGGATAAAAAGATCTTGGTCAGCAGTGGGAGGGGGTGGGGGGCAGGGAGCACAGCTCTGCAGCCAGGTCGCCTGCATCCAAATCCCTGTTCTGACACTTATTCACCTCTCTGTTCTCAGTTTCTTCCCCTGTAAAATGGAGACAATACTGAGGGTGCCAGAATGGAAAGAGTTAATATTTGTAAAGCATTTGGAGCAATGATGGGCACCGGGTAAGCATCGTTTAAATGTTTGTTAAATAAATTACATCCTAGTGTTTATAGCTGGGATGAATCTCAGAAATTATTTAGCTGGAGTTCTAGGGCAAATATAGCCTACGGATATATTTTAATTGTCCAGCAGTGTTTGAAAATTAAATTAGCTGGCAATATTTAAAAAGTAAGTGAGTTTGCAGAAACAATTATTGACTTCCCTTTAAACAGAAATAGACCTAGCAACCCCAAGCCCACATTGCCACGTGGTAATAATTGGTTAAAGCTGAAAAGCAGTTGTCCCTTTAGACAGGCATGGTTTCTTTGGCTCACCACAGTCCCCACCACTCCCTACTGCCTCCTGGGCACTGCAACAGAGTCAGCATCTCTGGAGATGAGGTTTAGACATCTGTGTCCAATAATGCTTCCCTGGTGATTATGATGCAGTGTTTGAAGGCCATTTATGTAAGCCCAGTTTTCAAGGAGACTGAGGCCCAGAGAGGGAAAGGGACTTGTGTAAGGTCACGTAAAAAGGTAATGGCAGAGAGAGGATTAAGATCCAGGGTCCAGGATAAAGAAATAAAATACTGAGCATCTGTTATCTACCAGGTCTTATACTATGGTCTGGGTGGGGATCAACAAACTTTTTTTAGTAAAGGGCCAGATAATAAATGTTTCCAGCTCTGCAACCGTTCAACTCTGCTGCAGAAGTGTGGAAATAGCCTCTGGCAAAATGGAAAATTAATAGGTGTGGCTGTGTCACAAAAGAACTTACAAAAGCAGGCAGTGGGCTGGATTTGGCCCAGGTTAGTGTGCTGATTCCTGTCTAGGGCTACAGAAACAATCCAAACACAGCCTCCTTCCCTTGAGAGCTTATGGCCTAGTGTTATTATTGACCTAAGTTTGGGTCTAACACTGTTTGTGCTGCTGTGGATAAAAAGCAACAATAATGACAATAATAACTGCATTAATAATACTAGATTCAGGGCATTGAGGTTATGTCATCACCTCGAATACTCCCAACAGTGCTGCAAAAACAGGTATATGATTCCCATTTTACAGATGAGAAAACAGAACTCAGAGAGGGGAAGTGATAGGTACAAACTCATACAGTCAAGATTTGAACCTGAGTCTGATGCCCCTCAAACCCAACCGCTTCCTACTGCATCATCCTAGGATCCAGCTACTAATGGAGTAAACTGAAAGCTCCTAATAACAAATACCTGTTGTATTATTCTGAACATCCCATTGCTTCTCTGCTTCATGAACCCTTGGGACCTCCCGCCTCTGTGGTCAGCCCAGTTCCCTTACAGTAGTACTGACAAGACACTACTGGGTTCAAGTCCTCACTCTGCTACTTCCCAGCTGTATATGTCTTTGGGCAAGTCACCTGGGACCTCAGCTTCCTTGTCCTTAAAATGGGTATAATATGGGTACCTAGCACAGAGTCTGGTATACTATGCTAGTTGCTAGTATTATGTGAATATTATTACTCCCCCCTTGAGCTTGCTACCAGAGGCTTCTAAGTCGTTGTTTTCTGGGGGCAGAGAATTGGATTCAGTGGCAGAGTAGCCTTCTTTCCTCATCCATGATTTTTTTAATCACAGCTGCATTTCTAAAAGGGCACATTTCTATATTTATCATTCTCTTCCTCAGAGTTCCTTCAACAAGAACTCTGAGTTCCTTATAGGCAGCATTTTCTTGATTCTAGATGTTGGGGGATATTCTTGATCTTTGCTTACTGTGGAAGAATGAGTTGTGAACACATGCTGTCTCTATGTTAGCCAGTTTTTGTCAGAGACAACGATGTCTGTGAAATGCTGGAGATAAAGGTGCTGCTGCCTACAAGTGGCCTGAGAGGACCCAGCTCCCAAGAACCACCACAGCTACCTCCTCTGAGTGATGAGGTCCTTTGCAATGAGGATAATGACTGGTCCTCTAGAAAAGTGGAAATTCTTTTTTCATTCCTCTTCAGCAGGTCAAATATTCCCCCTGCAACCCTTTTTCTGCTCAGCAGATCCTTTCTGCATGGGCAATAGAGCAAAAATGTCACCCAAGTTTATGCCTAAATTAACATGGGCTCGAGGAGGTCCCTGGGTAGCTCTCAATCTGCCACCAGAAAAAAAAGTCTAAGAAAATACTGTCGTAGCAACCACTTACAGAGGCAAAAGACATTAGGTGGGGACCTTGAGGGATGAAGCCTGCTCTGTCCTGCACCTGTGCAGACACAAAACCAGCAAGGCCTGGTGCAAAGAGCCCAGCATTGCAACTGGAAACATACGGGTGGGACCTTCAGCCCAACTCCATTACATGTGTGTCCATGGGCAAGTAAGCTTGCCCCTTGGTGTCTCAGTTTCCCCACCTGCCCAATGGCAATGATGTCTACCCAGTAAAGCCAATGCCCACAGCGAGAGCCTGGAGGGGGCAGACCTATACCCTTGTGTTTCTCAAACATACAGAGCCTTCCAGTCACCTGGGGATCTTGTTCACATGCAGATTCTGCAGTGGCAGGTCTGAAACTACAGATATTCTGCATTTCTTACACACTCCCTGGTGACTCTGATGCTGCTGGTCAGTGGACCACACTCTGAGGAGCCCGGCTAAGAGACTAGAAGCTCCACATGGGGAGCCAGCTCATTTCTGTGTCAGCGTGAGTCGGCAGGGGCACCTTAGCCTATCAGCCTGGCCCTGCTGTCCCCACCCTCCCTATGGCTTGGCGGTTTGGGAAGCAGCATGTCACGTCCATGTGGTGGTTCTAGTGACTTCAGAGTGGCGTGTTCACTTATTTTGTAGCCTTCTGTTTGTGTTTTCTGCAGCTGGGGTGGGAGCATGTTGAGGAAGAGAGGTGGAAGGAGCTCGGGGTGCTGGCCTGGAGGAAGCAGGAGGGGTGCTTACATGGGATGGAAAGGTCTGGGGCTCATGGGAAGCAGATAAAGCACTTACCACCCTCCTCCCTGCTCTCCCCAAAACTGTAAATTACTGGGCTGTGCAGAGATGCCTCTGAGGACAACAACGTTTCTACCTCTCATTACTCCTTTACGTTAACAGGGTGTGGTGGTTTCCAAACCTGGCTGCTCATCAGAATTTCCCAAAGTCGTAAAATATGTATTTTAAATATTTTTAAAATTTATTTTTAGAGAGAGGGGAAGGGAGGACGAGAGGGAAAGGAACATAGATGTGAGTGAGAAAAATCAATCAATTGCCTCTTATAAGTGCCCTGATTGGGGGCCAAACCCACAACCCAGCCACATTCCCTGACAGGGAATTGAACTGGTGGCCTAATGCTTTGCAGGATGACGCCCTACCAACTGAGCCATACTGATCAGGGCCCAAAGTTGTAATACATTAAAAACAAAAATTCCTGTGCCTCACTGAAGATCAGTAGCTTGTCCCCAGTTGACATTGGGTGATGTCTGAAGACACTTCTGGTTGTCACGATGGTGTGCTACCAGCTTCTAGTGGGTAGAGGCCAGGGATGCTGCCAAACATCCCACAAAACACAGGCCAGCCCCACAGCATGGAATTATCCAACCACAACGTTAATGGTGCTGAGGTTGAGAAACTGCCCCAGAGAAGACTCAAGTTTGTGCCCAGAGATATGTTTTTAACAAATTATTTCAGGGGATTCTGATTAAAAGGCAATCTACAGAAATGAATATAAGGATGGCCTTTGGAAACAGATATGTTGGGCTATGTGACCTTGAACATGGTTTTTGATCTTCCCATGCCTCCATTTCTCTATTTCAAAATGGAATAAAAATAATAATTTTAGTTATCTACCTACCTACCTACCTACCTACCTACCTAATAAGGTTGTTGCACAGTTAATGAGCCAAGATAGAATCCTGGCACAGAGTCATTAAAAAATGTTGGTCACTATTAATGTTGTCATGATTATCATCGACAGCCAGGTTGAAATGGGGGGATAAGATGATCAGCAGGCCTGGCCTTGGATGCCTGCCAAGGCTGGCTGGGAAGGTGTGGTTCGGGAGGCTCAGGGCATGGGGGGCTCACCTGGAAGCGGTGGAAGTCCTGGGGCTTGAAGTCATTGGGGGAGCAGCCGCACCAGTCCACGATGTGTTTGTACTGGCACTTGCAGCCCAGCTTGCGGTTCCAGTTGGTGATGCGCAGGTTGTTGTCCACCATGGTGTCGCAGTGAGGGCTATTCTCCAGGACTGTGTGGAAGAAGGACTGTAGGGAAGAGAGGAGCCAGCCTGAGCCCTCTTCCAGCCTCCCTTGAATGGGACGGGATGGGGATCCTGCCCTGGGACTACCTGACTGCAAAGGGACTCTCTTGGGAATTCACCTGTTCTTCCTGTAATTGGGGTCAGTGCCAATCTGGTTCTGCTCAGGGTACACCAGATGTTGCATCCAGAGAGCTTCATTCTGTCCAGAAATCTAAAATTCTGAATGTTTCTCTAATTATCTTTCCCCAGCAGTCCAAAACCTGATTTTAAGATACCTCTTATCATCCAGGAATCTTCTGTCTACTCAGCAAAGAGGAAAAGTCCCTCAGGGTATGTCAACACATGGGGACTAGAGGACAACACGGGGGCAATTTTTCAGGAAAACTTGGGTCCTTTGGCTCTTGCTTTGCAAATAGCAATGTCCGAAACCAAAGGGATTCAGCCCTGATAACTCTTGAGAAGAAAGACCAATGTGGGTAAGGGAGGCCAGATTTAAGGGTGCATCAGGCCCCAGGTCTGGAAGGCATGCAGGTACAGCGTGCTTCGAAGAGAGAAAGGCTTGGGGGGTCTGGGGGCTGCTTGCTGTCCATGGTGCTGAACTAGGAGCAATGGCTTCCCCTAATCCTAAGACTCTTGCCCCACCTCTCCTAGGAATGTGAGAAAGATGCAATGTTGAGAGTGAAAACAGAGGTCAGAGAGAAGGGACATGGTTAGAAATGTGAAGAGAGAGAGAGGGAGAGAGAGACTGACTTTTATTTGGACACATTTATGATAACCCAGATACCAGACAGATACATTCTCTCCTGCTCTCTGCTCCCTAGGGGAAGCTATGGGGGAACATGTGTCTGCCTGTTATAAATTTATGGCACAGCCTTCAGATTTCTTCTGAGCTGGTTCCCTGCAAGTGGTCTGGGAGATGGGAGGGAGAGGCAGAGGTGCTGGGGTGGAGGGGTGGATCTGACAGGGACCTGGGTTGTAATGTGCCTGTGTGTGCTGCAGCAGGGGTGGGGCAGAGAGAGCCAGCGTCAGGATGAGCATCTTGATTAAAAGAACTGAAGATCCAAGCAGTCTCTTCTCAATGGGTGGGTGGGCCAAATGAGGCTCCACCCACCATCCCCAGCTGACCTTCCCACGATGCTAAATGACATGCGGTGAACCTGGATTTTAAGCTTGAATTGTCTACAAGCCCACAGAAGCACATATTCTCCATCAAGCAGTGGGGAAAAGTACCCAATTACTGACTGCCCTGTGTCCTCTTATAATGATACAGAAATTCTTTCCAAGATAATGGATGAGGAGGTTATCGAAATTGAGAGAAAAGGTGATTTTTGCTGAAATAGGATTAAAAGCTGATTACTTAACATGTGTGGAGAATAGCAAAACAGTGTCCTGGTTACAACAAGCCCATCATTCCTCTGGAGTGACACAGGCAGTCAGCCCTACCCAGGGCTTGTCACTGCCCGGGATATTGGTGAGGGACATGGAAACCATTGAATGAGATGCACTGTCTTGTCTGTCCTAGAGACATATCACCTGAGGGGTCCAAAGATGGGACACAGGAAGGAATGGTGGATCACTCACGGGAAGCGTCACAAGCTCAACACAAACAGACCCAACTCCGGAGTTTTATGAAGTAGGAAATTAAGAGCTGGAGGACAGGGGGCTTCACCTAGAATCTTTCAGCCCAGGTCCAATAAAGAGGCTGCTGGCACGCCAGGGGCAACACTTCAGCTCTGGGTGCCTACCCACTTCCAGATGAGCCAGGGCTATTTTAGAACAGTCTCCAGTCTTAAACAATAGGGCTTCTGAAGAGGACTGACTGTGTCCCCCTAAAATTTGGAGGTTGAAATTGTAACCCCCGATGTGATAATGTAAGCAGGTGGGGCCTTTGGAAGCTGATTAGAAGAGGAGGGTGGAGCCCTCATGAATGGGGATTAGTGCCCTTATGAAAGGGAGCCCAGAAAGACCCCTCAGTCCCACCAGGGTGACCTTCAGTCCTGTGAGAACACAGTGAGGACTGTAGTAGACAGTCTGCGACCTGGAAGAGGGCCCTCATCCGATCATGCTGGCACCATGATCTTGGATATCCAGCCTCAAGAACTGTGAGAGGTAAACTTCTGTTGTTTATAAACCACCTACCTTATCGTATTTTGCAGCCCTAATTAAGATAGTTTCCCACCCTGGAGCCTGAAGAGTGGTGACAGACTGCCCGGAGCTCTCAAATACTTCCAAAACCCAACAGGAAATGCTGAGTCCCAAGCATTTGCCCATGAGGGCTGTCAGTGTAGGGGGTGTCCTGAAAGGGCCAGCACTTACAGCTGTGCAGATTACACACCACACAGTGCTGGGGTGAGGGGTGCTGCCACCAACACTGTATATCAGAGGTCTGTATTTTTTTTTAACAGTTTCCCAGAAAAAGGCAGTAAGTGTTCTGTTCTAACCAAATTAGTATATCGTGATGATTTTTACTATCAATGGGAGACAGGTGCCTGAAAAAGGGCTGCCTTTTCTGGTTTTCACAAAGACACTGTGGATGGCTGATGGCAGCACCGTGTGTCTACTCCACACAGCCTCCATAGACTGGAGGGGACCAGGGGCGTTGCTATGGCAGCAAGGTCCCTGGTAGCTAGTGCTATTCTCCACCTTCAACTGGATGTTTGGAGGGCTACGTACTGGACTCGGCATTGCTTTGCCAAAAAGTCAGCGTTCACTTTGCTCCAAACGTTAGAGCCAGCCCTGACCATTCTCTTGCATTTTTTTTCCCTGGACACTCACCTCAGCAGGAAGCAGGGTGTAGGAGTAGAACTGCTTCATTTTAGTCACCAGATCATCTGTGGAGAACGTCACATACTCCACAAACTTCCGGTTCAGCAGGAACCAATCTGAACCTCCATCCACGGCAATGCCCTCTGGGATCCGCCGGTCCCCCAGGCGCCACATGTGGGCGTCACACTCCAGGAAAAGCCGGTCCAGGCCCTGTTTCCGGATGAACCTGAGAGAGACAAAGAAGCCATTGCCCAAAGGAGCCTCCACCCAGAGTCTAAACGAGATGGCACAACCATGGTGATCAAAGCATTTATTGAGCACTGACTGTGTGCCAGGTATGGAGCCAGGGGCTCTGTGTCTAGTTTGTCACGTGGTCTTCACGAATGAGGCTGCTCACTCCGTCCCTCTGAGGCAGGTGCTATTATTACACCCATTGTACAGATGAGGGCACTGAAGCTTAGAGACGTTTAGGGGACTTGCTAAGCACAATTAGATGGCAATGATCCTGTGGTACATCTGCTTTCTCTTTAGAAACTTTGAAATCATCTCCCCATGCCACAGACACCTTGGTAGCTTATTAAACATAGCTTGTGGACACTCATTTCGGAATAATGTTCATAAATCAAAACATACAGGATTACAAATTTTATTTTTAAACAGCAAAGTTATGCTCTGGCCAGGTGGCTCATTTGGTGGAGTGTCATCCCGGCACCAAAAGGTTGATCCAGGTTCAGTTATGACCAGGATATGCCTAGGCACATACATAGGTTGTGGGGTCAATCCCTGGTTGGGGTCCATACAGGAAGTAACCAATCAATATTTCTCTCTCTCTTTCCATTCTTATCTCTCTAAAAAATCAGTAAACGTATCCTCAGGTGAAGATTTAAAAAACCAGCAAAGTTATGATATAGTAATTCATGTGCTTTTTGATTCACACATTAAATATAGGATTACAAAGTATTTCTTAAAACACAAAATTTATGGTAATTACAAGTGTGTCTTTCTTAACAAGTGAAATAACAATATCTGTGGCAGGTCTAATAACCACTGTAATTGTGAAGAAGTGGTGAGCATAACTGATATTTAGAGGTAGATGCATCAACTATAATATGATAGGGAAATATGTGACTCCTAACAGTTACTGCTCATACTACTGTGGTTTGTTCTCTATGTGTAGCTAGATTTCAGTTAGAGAGTTCGGTGAAAATAAAGATTGTTTTGTTCCCATTCAAAGTCATGGGACCTCTGAATTCCATCTATGAACCTCAGATGGACAACTCCGGCTCTAGAGTACATACATATACATATTCAGGAATCTGCAAACCGGGTAGTGCCAGCACCTCCTGTTCTGTAAATGCAGAAATCAATGGCCAAAGAGCTGGTTGAACAGGTGTGTGGGGAGACTGGTCAGAGCAAAAACCCAGTCTTCTGGCCTAAACTGTGCATTTACAGTGAGCATTAACTGCACACCTGCAATGTGCCAGGCATTGTGCTGACCCTAGTACAGGGCAAGGGAGAGTCAGGGTGATTCCTACTTCTCAGGAGCTAGTTACCTAGCTGGGAACTTAGTCTAGAGGCCTCCCAACTCAGGGATCCTGCTGCTCCTCCAGATCTACAACACGAAATCAAGCATTTTGAAGTGTACCATTTAATGGCATGGTACTCATTCAAAATGTTGTGCACCCATCATCTCAATCTGGTTTCCAAATATTTCATCACCCCAAAGGAAAACTCCATGCCCATAAGCTGTCACTGACCATTCCCCCGACCCTCTAGACCCTGGCAACCATCAGACTGCTTTCTGTCCCTATGGATTTACCAATTCTGGATATAGATGGAATCCTATAATTTGTTGGTCTTTTTGTTTGGCTTCTTCAACCTACCATAGTGTTCTCAAGGGTCATCCACATTGTAGCTCATACCAGTGCTTCATCTCTTGTTCCTGTCTGTCCAGCATCCATTCCTTGTGTTTCTGGGAATCACGTCTCCATTTTACTTTGGTTAGTCACTAATCTTCGATTCTCAGTTTATTTGGGTTTGCCCCTACCCTAACACCAGGGGTGGGAATGTGACCTGGGCTGGTCAATTCCATCTGCTTGGCCGCCATAATACTGGTTCAGGGATGGGTGAGAAACTCAAGCTGGGTTTGAGACTGGGACCTGAATTTTCACTAAATTTACCAGGAAGATTCTTCTATGGGGTTTTTTCGCTGAGAGACCACAAGCCTGGAGCTGGTGGCAGCCATTGTATCACCATGAGTATAGAGGTTGTCTGACAGAGGAAGTGGCACTGAAAGAAGGGGAGGTCAGGGCTTTGCATGGGGGCCCAGGGAAAGTTGACAACTTTTCTGAGGACATGCAGAGGACACACACAAGGACAGAAGCCAACAGAAGACCCAGGTGTCCATCCTCCTCGGTCTTATTCTTTCTCTAACACATCTTTCCACATGCCATATCTGAAGTTGGCCTCACATGGATGAAGGGGTTAGGGGTCTCTGTAGAGGGGGTGATCTGGTGAAGGTCTTTCATTATACTCACCATATCACACCACAGACACAAAGCTTGGGTTTAACTAGTTTATTAAAAGCAATGCTGAGTTTAAGAAAATAAAATCCTACCTTGACTGTGGCTGGTGCTAAGTTATCCAATAATGTCCAGTTAGTGCATTTAACCATGCTTAACACTTTGAATTTCAGATAATTTGTATCAAAACTTACATGGTAACCAAGACTAACTTAGAAAAATAAAAGATATACAGGTGCTAGAACTTGCAAAATTTTTCTTTCCATGGACCAGCTTTTTAATTTTATGTTCCATTATACAGGATAATAGCATCGTCTTGCAATTTTAATGTGATGTCCCAGACCATAATATCCAAATACAATATTTATGCAGTAAAATCTCCAAAATAAAATATTCATGGGGTTGGGAGATTGGTTGCTGTATTTACTGCATTCCAAAACTGATAAGCAGCAAGCACATGCTTTGGTTAATTGTGAGTAAAAATAGAGACAACCAACTCCCAAGGTCTCAGAAAAGTTTCTGCTGAGAGGCGCTGCCGGGAACTGGGTCTGGATTGGGAGAAGGTGGCAGAGATCTAGAGCCTGGGTATCTAGCAGAGGAAAGGAATCAGCTTAGGAAGTAATTTGCTTTTTTTTTCTCCTGTTCTGTGAATTAACAGCTCGGAAAGGTAAAGGTTGGAAATCAAGGTATGTCAGTAAACACCTGGGTGTGTCTTTTCTTAGATGCTGGCTTGTCAGTAAAGGGCACATAGTTCTCTTACCTGATGGACAGAGGGCAGATTGATTTGCAGCAATGGGCCCAAGACATAGAAGGTGACTTATGACGCTCTCCTCCCTTCAGTTTCACCTCCCACTGACTTGGTTACCTAGGGCAACTGGGTCAATAGGTGGAACTATCGAAAAACAGACACCAAAAGGATCTGGGTACCAGTCCTGCCTCTGCTTTCACAGACTATGAGATGTGGGGCTGGCTTAACCTCTTTGAACACCAGTTACCTCATTTGTCAGATAATCCCTGTACATCTGTCCTGGGAAAGGATAGTGGATGACTTTTACAAAGGTCCTTGCACAGGGTTTGGTAAGCACGGTTCACACAAGCAGTAGATTCACCCAAGCATCGGTTCCTTCTTACATGGTGATAACATCCCTCCTCAACCCCACACATCCCTGATCATCCTTCCATGCTGTATTTTTCTCCATAGCATTTTAAACTTTCAATAGCACATACAAGATATATTAACTATACAAGATATTTAGTTTGTTGTCTATTTGACCTTGCTTGACATAAGCTCCAGGGGGTCACAGATTCTCATCTATTTTTGTTCACTGCTGTATCCTTAATGCCTAGAACAGTGCCTAGCATACAGCTGGTGCTCAATAAATATTTACTGAGTAAATAAATAAAGAGAAGAGTAACAGCCACACCTGTCAGGCAATCAGGAAGTGGCAACAGTTAGTTAGCCAGGTATTTGATGTTGTGCGTGGGTCACCGGCCAGCAGTGACCATGGAACGCTGTGGATGGCTCAACGATAAACACGCGAGAAAAAACATGCACAGAGACAAACTAGTTTCTGTGGGGAAGTAGGGACAAAATGGCCACCCCCCCTAGTGGGGAGCGGGCTGATTTACCATCCATACCTGCTTTTATTAGGCTCATTCTGCATAATAATTCAGGTAAAGTACAATACTCATTAGGGGGAAGTAAGGAACCATAGAAAACAAAGAACTCTGCCGGTCTATTGAGTTGGGGGTCAAAGAGCTGTAAGACTGAGGAACAAAATAACTTCCTCCTAAGACCCTTCTCATTCAACCGAGAGCATTCTAAACAAAGAAGGTTTCACAGTAATTTACATGTTCTTTCTTAGGCCTGATCACCCCGGGGAATCGGCACTTCTCAGTACAGAGCTGCACCACCCTGTCATTGTTTCAGGCTTAGGTGGAGCAAGGGAACTAAGGCAACTGGGAGACAAGGAGGTTTTCTCCCAGAGGCTGAGAACTCAGGCTATGTCAAAGCCGAGGAGCGAGGGTCCATCACCCCCTTTTGCTGCAGTCCCCCAAGTCCTTCTTTTGGGGGGCCTCCCAAAGTGATCATGCCTGTCTTAGGTCGTTCCCCCCGTGGGGAATCTTACCCGTCTTTGGCTAACCGACCAAGCTTTTTGGGATTCAGTCATGAATAAAGCAGCAGAAGCAGCATTCCTGCCAGGGAGATAAGCTTTTGTCTCCTTGCTGGCTTACAGTTCCAAGGGCGTTCCCTTAGCCTTAGCTAGGCGGGGGTTTCAGCTTCTGATACCAGTCAGGGCGGTTCCCAACATCTTGATTCTTCTAACACTCATTTGACAGATGAAGGAACTGAGTCACAGGAAAGTTACGTCAATTCTCCAAAGCCACACAGATAGCAGTCCTAGACTTGAATCCAGATCTGGATAAATCAATGCAAGCTCTTAGCCACTCTGCCATTCTTCACCAGTCCTAATTTGCCAGGTGCTGCCAAGAAGATCCAGTGAAGGATCTGAGAACTTCTATTGCCTCAAAAAGACACTGTGCAGAAATGACAGAACCAAAGGGCTCACTGCTGGTCTTAGAAGACCTCGCAAGGACTGCCTATTTTCAGAACAGGCCACCTAAAGGCAAACCTGGACTCAGGTGCATTCAGTTTTACCTCCTGGGATGCACCTTTCAGGGCTGGGTAGTTTGCTTTTCTGAG